TGTCGAGAGTAAAGTTATACCAATATCCAAAATCGATATGTGAAAGTTTTTCTGCGCGAAAAACTTGTAAACATCGATGTATCAAAAATTGAAAAACAAGAAACGTATTTTTTTGAATGACGAGTAGGCATGTATCGATGCAATATCTTTTTAAAGAAACTTGAATTATTTTTCCGAAAACTCGGAGTGTTTTGAGAAATGTCAAACTTTATGAAAATAAATCTTTAGAAAACGAGTGGAATTTGTTTGATACAGGTACAGTCAGTCCTCACAATGTTTAGAGTCAAATTGTCCATTAACGAATCGCATAATTTACTCTTAGAGTAAATCATCATTATGGAAATGACTCTGTATCGCGTACAAACAAATGAGACCTCCGGCACTGGCTTTTAAGTACTCCTACTCTATTCGCCGCAGACTCGCATGACTCGAGAGAATGAGATGGAAAATGTGCAATGCCGCAGCATACTGCAACTGCGAGAGCTTTGCCGTCTTAATCGTAATAATATTCATGTATTCGCGCGCGGCGGTAGCTCGGCTGCTCTCCGCTCGATGACAATACAATTCAGCGCAATCTGAATACAATAATAATCATAATAACAATCGTCCGAGTGCCGAAGCTGGCGAGTTATATGTATGAACTCGTAAGCTCGCGCCTCGATTCTCACCTCGTCGGAAGCTGAACAAACACTTTATACTCTAGCTACGTACTAGCTGCTACGGCCGGCTAAGTTTCAGGGCGATTGTTTGAGGATACACACACAGTTTATATACATACCGTACTCATAGAATCGTAGAAAGCTGTATACTCTTTGGAAAGTGGACAATTGTTTTGGATGACGGCCAATTTGTTTCTCACCCAAGTTTTGCTTCGCTATTATAATGGAAAGATGTATTCCGTTGTGATACTGGAAACAGATTTGCGAGAAAAAAAGGCCTTTCGGTATACACGAACTTGTCACAAACATATTTCGTCTTTGCGACTAATTAAATTTTGCGTATAAGCGCCAGTGCCCATTAAAATTATCGTCCGCGAATGGAAAAAGACGCTGGCTGCGAGCTATTTCTTATGGAAGCCGTACTACTACTACTTTTACTACTACTACCCCGAGCTCATGAGCTAGGAAAGAGATAAACGAGTGAGAAAAAGAGAAACTGCCGAGTGTGGATGTTGAAGTTCACATGTATTCTTGAGTTTTTTTCATCAAGAGCTTTTTTAATTAGTAGCATTTGTTGCGTTTGCAAATGGCTGCTGTAATTAGCTCAGCAGAGCTCTCTAGAAATCCACGATGATGAGGGAGCACTTTTTACCCGCGGATACTCGATGAAGAGCCAGCGTGCAGGATTAAAAACATACATTTTACGTTTCTCCTGACTTACTCTAATTTCAACTAAAATTTTATAAATCAGGGCCTAACTCGATATTCGGTTTCTCTTATTTTTTTACCGTCGAGTTTAAATTTGAAAATTCCACCTCGGGGCACACAATGCAACTCTTGGCGCTACAGTTTGACTCGACTCGGAATATCGATCCGCGAGCTCTCACGAATTTGTGCGGCATTTGGCATATTTCGTGGGTTTCGTCTACACTGATCGCTTGTTTGTGTCCATGTGAGTTTGATTTTACCGTGTCGAATTAGTTTCAATGAACTTGTACGCGTACACAAGCGCTCACGCGAGCGCCGCTCGTCAATTTTACAAAATGGAAAATCGATTTTGGATGTAATTTCGTTCAGAATTTCCGGAATGCTTTCAATAATGCAAACGATCGGCACTCCTCGACGCAAAAAGTTTTATATTTAACTCGTGACAGGCTGAATATTCCCGCGATTGAGGGATCTCGAGTCTCGATGCAAGACGTCTTTTTTGCTGAATATTTTACGATATATTCACCGCAAAATCGGGATAAATGGTTCATTTGTAAAAGAATTGGAACTGTGCTCGCGTTTAAATATTTTACGTATATTTCTGATGCACAATTATTATACGCCGCTTCGTTACACATACACAGAGCAAGAGAGCTCAAAGGTCGATTTTACGTTGATTAATGGACAGATCGTGTCGAGCTGCACGGCGCGCATCGTGACTCGCTGCGAGAACTGTACAAATGAAATTTCGATCGTTAACATTTATAAACTCGATCGTTAGCCCAGCTACATTATGTAAACCCGAACGTAGCAAATATATACCGAATGGATTCGTTCGGCTTGATCTACAGCTTCAGTATACCTATGGCACAATTATATTCCATTCATTTGTATAAATTGTGCAACCGGATATGCCGAGAGAAAATTTTTCAAGAATACGAGAATTATGAAAAAAAAGTACTCGGGCCGTTGTACATGTTATACTGGCCATATCCAACGGGCTTCGCACGGCTCAAACTACTCGTAGTTTGAAAATTCATAAAATTTTTTAATTCTGATGGATTTATAACATTGCACGTAAAATTGATATTAATTTTATTTATTTCATGTTCATATAACTGAAAAATTATACTTTGGTAAAAATAATTATTATTTGATTAGGTTTAAAACGTAAATACGAAATGACTGATTTTAGAATTTCCCGCTCACTCCAAAACAAACTTCCCAAAACAAAGGTTCAATCGCAATTCCGGAAAGCTGTCTATACAAAACTACTCATGACTTTTTAAGAGAGGATATACGTTTACGTGCTTGGAAAACTTTAAACTGCACCATGAATCTTTTGCTACCAACCCAACGTATTATTGTTATTCAGATACGCTCAAGTTTTATGCTAATCCTACATATTCAAAATGTAAATGCTCGAGCGCGAATATAAATTCAATATGTCCGTGCGCTGCGTAAGCGCGATTGCTGTTTATTAAAATTCTGTTTACGCAATTGCTGTTGTGGTGGACTGCGGTGAACGTTAATGGCCGAAACATTAGCCGAGAAAAACAAACATGCTCTTCTTTGCTGCGGATTGAAGATCAAATTATGACGACGCCATAGAATTTTTTTAGCATATTCGATCGTCGATCTAATAATCGAAGAAAAATACAAATGAAAATTCGTACAAACTCTAAGTGGGTTAATTTGCTTATGTAACTTGTGGTCCCAAATTCATGCAGACTAATTGAGCATTCAGAGTAGAAGCAAAAGAAAAAAGCCACTATGCTCCCAAATAGGAAATTAAGTATATTTTATACATAAACATCTATTCTACTTGGGCTGTACGAAAAGTACTATACTTTGTCAGTTTCGCCGTACTTCCGTTCGTCAAATTACCATACATATTTATAAGGTAAACTATACTGCAATTCCAGATGTGAAAAATCTCAAAGTAATCATTCGCGATCGTCCCAACGAAATTACAACTCGTTACGTAGTGCTTTCTCGCTAGAATTTTCAAATTCTTATGCGAATGATGACGTGTATCGATCCAATAGCGAGTGTTTCAATATTCATTGACTTTTGAATTTATTCCGAGCTCGCTCTGATAGTCGAGAATCACGAGTGATTTCCCACCTCTCTACCGCTCCAACTTTGTAATAATAATAATAATATTAATAATAAGGATATCGTTGGATACGATATATTCAACGTGTAACGACACAGCGACGTGGGCCAAGGGTATTTAAATGGCTACACGCTTTTCGCGGACTGTTACGCTCTATTTTACGTATTCCGCGTTCGAATACGCTCGTGCGCACGCGGCTGTCCCCATTAAAGTGCTTGGCTTCGCATTATATTCACGAAATCCGAAGTATTATTCGCAGCTCTGGTGCGCGCGATCTCGCTCAAATATAATACATTTCGTGCGCGAAATATGAATTTCAACATTTCTCTAAGTTGAACGTGTGTTAAATGAGAATGTTCTTTCCTTTTTTTTAACCCATAAAGTCCATGTACACGCATGTGTGAGCTTTAAAATTACTAATATTTGAGGAAACTGACTCAGTGAATGGTCGATTTTCGTGAATTTTATGAAAACAATTAGAAATATAAGTTTATGGTACACCTCATTTCCTTGTCCAAATGTCACATAACAATGAAAAATATTATTATTGTTTGCATCTAAAAGTGATCATTTACTGGTTGATAGTGGTCAGTCGCTGGATAAAGTACTCTATGAATCCGAATCACTAAATACATATTTGACCCTTGTGAGCAGCGATTAAATTTATCGATTTACATTTTCATTTGGATGTTTCGAACAAGCTAAATCTCAACTCCACGCTCGCGACCGTGCGTATATTCGTGCTTTTTTTTTTAAATTTTTCAAACAAAGTTCGCACGCAGCACATGTCTGTACAATGTCAAATCTTGAAGATATGGCTTAGGCAAACACGGCGTTCGGGAATCGAACGCGTAAGGTCGTGAGCATAAGTTGCGTAGCAGCGCATCAATCGCAGGAGCTTTTGCTTCGTACATACACTCCATCCATATCAAATGTCTTATCACTGCAAAAAAAGTTATCCTATTTGCTCAAGCTGACTGAGTATTTTGCTCGTTTATACTCATGGGTACTTTATGCAAAGGCAAAGGCGCACGTCTCATACATAGATAGAAGCATAAAGTTTATCGCGTTTTCCAGCTATGAACACAGTTGTACGACGCAAATTTTTATACTTACGTCGCTGATAACGTGTGTTTCGTATTATATATAATACATGAATATCCGCTTTCGGTCTTATTTTATTTCATTTGTGGCCTCCGCCCTCAGCTATTCGATTATTTTTCGTTTTATTATCGGCGAATGAATCCATCTGCTATTTCGTGTAACTGATTCGTAACACGCGCTCGTATGAATTAGTTAGGAAGCCAAATTTACCTTTTTACGTGATTTTTCGCAAACGAATAAGTCAGCGCAATCGTTCAAACTCCCAGGCGTGAAATACGAAACCTCTATATATGGATTTTCTATGATACAGATTTCAATCAAAATATTCTAAAGAATTTTTAACTAAATATAAGCATTGATAATTGTTACTACAGAAACATAATTACTAATAAAAACTTTTTTTGTTTCAGAAATCAGTACCTTACCAATTTGTATGACTCGGAAAAAACGATAAAAGTGAGTATCAATATTTTTTTTTCGTTTGAAAATAATCAAAAGTTTATTTCAAATTTCCTACGTTTGATTTTAAAATTTGTTCACGAAAGTATAATATTCATAACATTCACGGCATTTTAATGCAAGTGGAAGTGTCTGTTATAAGTACATTTATTGCTCACGAATCACCAAGTTAGTTTGAGATCCTACAAACTTCTCTGACTCGATGCCAAGTTAAATTGAGTATTTTTTACTACATAGATAAGCGAAGCTAACGACTTATTACTAAAATGCCAAAGTTTACACGCTGATTTATTCGTAGGAAGCGTAAATCATAAAATTCAAGCCGACGGTTCACTAATTAACCGTTTTGTGATTGCGTGAGTAATATATAGAATGAATACACGTATATCTGCTGCTGTATGAATCCTGTATGAAAAAAGATGTGAAACTATAGCGCGTTAATAATTGAGAAGAAAATAAGAATATTATATGATAGTCGAGGGATATAATTGGACGCAAGCCCATTGGCAGCCTCATCAAGCTCGACGATGGACTCGTCGCGCGTGCATCAAAGGCAAAGATCCCACTCTTGTAATACATCATTCCAGACTTGAGCACGAGAAATTCTCATTTTCTCGGAGCAAGAGCAGCACACACAAATACGGACGTATTCCATGCGCATCGCGCTGAACTTGCAGCGACAGCACAGCAGTACATGCAAGTGTCATTAAGCAGTTAGGCTTACTGCTGCTTCTGCTACTTGTGTTTCCTCGCTTCAAAGCGGCACATACACGGCAAAGCAGTAAGGGTATTCAGCGAGTGTTAAAGCAGTAGAAAGCAGAGAGAAGCGCGCGTTGAAGCGAGTAAATTTATCGGTGCTTACCGTCATCGAATGTACCGCAAGCGCATCAGCGGAAAAGCACGTGAAAGACGACACTTTTTTCGGGATGGAACAGAAAAGCGCCGCAAAGCACTTGATTATAATTCTCATCTCTTCCTCTGAGCTGAGGGTTGCTCATGCATGCATAGGTACTCAAATTACAGCCACATGCGTGCTTGATAATATTGGTGAAGAGTATTTGAACGTGAATAAGTAATGCCATGGTTTTTATTTGAACCGAATAAACGATTCAGTAGTGTGACTAGATTTCGATCAGCCGCATATCCCACGCTAATTTCTTGGTCGCGAGTCGTTCATGATCGTGAGTTTGAAACGTAATTTACATCTCGCGAACTTCATTATTCTTTTCTCGTAATTTCTTCAAAAGCTTGTTAGGGGTCGTTTTTAATAAGAGATCGAGTAGTAATTTTATCTTTACATAAAGTCTACCGCGCTAGCTCGAAGGGCATCGCTTTCTCTTTCTCTCGCTCTCCTCTTCCTCGCAAAATACCTAGCCAGGCCATTGTTGCGACAATAGCCTCGGCGAAAGCAAACGAAGCAACCATTATCCAAAGCCGTCCGCCGTTTCTTACTTCGCGATAGCTCGTGCACCTTAACTTTTTACCCCCTTCTCGTTCTCTCTCTCTCTCTCTCTCTCTCTCTCTCTACAGCTGCAAAAGAAATCTACTTGACAGTTTTGCCGATGCCCACTGCTTTTCTGACTTTAACTGAATAGCTCGAATCTGGACCCGTCCGTAGCGCGGATGGATCTGCAGCAATTTTTTTCTCAAAAACAATGACAGGTGTTAGCTTTAAATGATGTATTAAGTTAAAAGTGTGAGTCTCTCGAGCTGCACACTTTTTTCAAAAGATGTACGAAACACTCGCTTGAGGATTTATGAACTATGGCCTTATGAAGTAGCGGTTATACGTAAATGGAATGCAGTGTGCTCCGTAGTTTAAAGAAACAAGTACTAGCGGGACAATAAATCAGCGAATCTCGCGGTGTGATTTGTCGACAGCGAGATTCACCTTTCCGTTCCTTTTTTCATCCGCACCCAGTGCTTTCGGCCACTGCTTGAACTTTTCTTTCTCCCTCTCGTACACAAGAGAGAAGTGCCCGAGAAAATTTCTATTGTTGATCCGAGTATAATGGGTCGAGATATATTATAGAGCGCCGCATACGCCCGAGTGCACATGCAGCTGAAATAACTACACTTTGCCCCTGCTCCTATGTGTGTTTATATCTATATTTATAGCTATGCGTGGTCGGAGAACCTTTGAATTTTCCGTATGAATTCATAATTTGGAAGAACTTGAAATACACTATGACGAACTTTTACCAAACAATTACTCAAATTTTAAGCACACCTGACGCATACAGACATGCGCGACAGTAAGAATAATGAATGCTATAAGGTTATAGAACAATTAACAATTTTGATGAACCTTGACTAACGCACAATTTTTAAAGGAAATGTATAATTTACCTCGTGCTTTTCAATATTTTTAGAACCAATGCATAGAATGGAATTGATATAGTTGATTCATCAAGTTTTTTCAACGTTTTTTTTTTCGTAAAATAGAAACTTTTTCTCTCTTTTTTTTCGTGAAATAACGATCAGATGGAACAATTTTTCGATGAAAAATTAATTACCTGTTCGAGGTAGATTGAAATATTGATATCAATTATAACTAAAAAAAAATGTTGTATCAAATTGTCAAACCTTTTTTTACTCTTTTTTTGTGTATTTTACGTGTATAACACTTCACGCGTTTTTTCATATGCGTGTAGTTCGCTTTAAGCTCCGAACGTTGGCGGTGCGGAGATTGACACTTTACATCGAAGCATTTCCTTCCTCTCGTCACTGGGAATTTGATAAAATTGAATGAAAATCTATAGAGCCGAATCGGAACGGAATTTTTGCCTTCGATCCCCTTCTCTTCTTTTCCCGAGGATCGCATGCGCAGGCTTGGTAATATTTAACGCTGATCGTAAATCTGCTGGTATTTTTGCCAAGCTTGTATAAATATGCATAAAGAGGTAAGCTACCAGTCGCGTATATATATATATACCCGCACCACCCGCTTATAATTATCGTTTCATGTTTTATAATCTCTGCCCTTCTCTCTTTCAGTTTTCCATACAGTGAGATACAAATTCCGCGTTGGCGCAAAAAGCTCGCCACGTCTCATTTATGTTATCATTGTATAGCACGGGTACAATCGGTCGAAAGCCGATATCGGAGCAATAGTGCAGTAAAATCATCGACGCATCGATATTACATTACACGCTTATACAGAATTTATGCAGTTATTGCATACACTTTTTCATATTCGCAAGTTCAATATGTGCAACGTGTGGCCGCGTACATGTACAGTACGGCCGGGCTTGTGCGAGCGCGGACTACGGCAAACTTTATCATTTTCGCGCTTGAACTCTACGAATTATTATCTCGTGTATTGCGGCTATTCGCTTTTATACATGTTTGCGCGCTTATACATCGATAGTTTTACGCCTACGCACACCCGCGCAAACTCGAGTCGATGTTTATATGTGCGTAAGCTTGTATATTATTCACGAATGATCATTACGCGAAAATAGAAGTAAACGCGCGTCGACCCAACTACACGCATCGGCGCGCAATATAACAACAGTCTCTCTGCGTGGTGACCAGCGGAAAATAATTCCGCAAGGATTCGAGCCATGTGCGGTACATGAACAACTAGACAATGAACGCGTCTGTTTCGCTGCCGCCTCTCTGCGTCTATGTGTCTATGTGCGCGGCAAAAAGGAAGCTCATCCGTGCCAGCCGCTTAAAGTACAACACTAGGCGAGCTATGCTCATTCTCACGTGATATTATCTTGCACGTCGTACAGTGCGCGCTTGGCTTAATTCATTTCCCGTGCTGCACATGTCCATGCACGCGAGCTTGCGCACGAGCTTTCGCGCTCTATTTTTGATTAAATTTTACTTGAAAGTTTTTTAGACTTAACGGAATCACGCGTGCGCCTACGTTAGTTTGCGAATTTTTTGAAACCTTATTTTGAGGTTAATACACAAAGCACACAATGTAAAAGTACAAATGTAAAAGTACAATACTAGTCCAAGTTCAAAAATATTAAGTGCCATTCCAGCAAAAGTGTTCAGCTAAATCAGCAAAATATTGTTACTGCTTCATCTGTCCACTTTCATTCCTGAAATTTTTTACAGTTTTACACATGCTATGGAAGGCATCATTAGTGATTTGTAAAAGCCAGCATGTGAGATTGAAGCTTTTTTCAGAGATCTCGTTATACATTTTTTTAAAAGGAGGTAGTTCAGAATTGTGAGAAAATAGAAGCACTTCTTTTCGGCGCCTTGCCCAGACACTTTGTATCGATATAATGAAAAGAAATTTTTTCACTATATATGCCTTCTCGTCCTTGCCAGAGATATTACTCGCTAGTTTTTTATTCGTGGAATATACATTCGTTATTCGAAGATATTACAATTTCAAGTGTGCTTCAGAAATGTCAAGTTTTACTATCTAAAAATATATGTATGCTTTGAATATAAATAATTTCTTAAGAAAAAATGACGAAAAAAATATCAAACAAAAAAAGTTTCTTCGGCATGAATATTTGAGGTAATAATTTTTGTGTTATAGCAATAGGTACCGTGAAAAAGTTCAGCATATACAAAACGCTCATTTTCTTCTTTAGTAAATAAATGTAGTCTTTTATAAGGCGTAGATCGAAGAATGCCCATAAATCCAGTCACCTGGTATCTTATGTACAAACTCGATCATTTTAAATTTCATTTGTTTCCTTTTTTTCAAATCCTATTTTTCTTGTACCTCCATCTTACATTTTTTCCTTTACTCAGTAAAAATAAATAAATAAGACAAAGTAAAACATTGTTTCTGTATCCAAAAAAGAAAAACAACAGCAACTGGTAATTTATCATGACCAAAAAGTATATAAACTCCAAAGAGTCGTCTGAATGGTTATTTGAATCAGCAATATATCAGCACACAAATAGGAAAATGTAAGCTCTCTTTCTCTTTCTTTCTCTCTGTGTCGGATAGAAAACCTTTAAAACACTCGTGGGAGTACTTTAGCCATTGCTGCTACTATATGTCGATATCTGAGTCG